CCCCCCCGTCCCACATATACCTACCCTCCCTTATCTAGAACGTTTCCGACGTTTTATCATGGGTGGGAACCACTGATCTGCCCTGTAAATCTTCTACCCTTTAATTTGATGGTATTGTGTTTTTTAAATAAACGTTGCAAAGGCTCTTTTCTCTTGGAGTTTGTAGTTTTTTTTGGTAACTTGGTACTGAGACCTAAACAGTGTCAAATAAATGATTTTGTATTAAAGATACTTCCTTGTGATTCCTTGTACTTTACTGCAGTTGGTGTTGTCAGGGCATGTCTGATTCTAAAAGGTTTGTTTGATGCCGGCTGGTTTGTTCTTGAGTGATAAATAGATACTTTGAGTGTAAGGAATATCCGTTACAAGGTTTCTTGGCTTGGAGAAAGAATCTGCAGCATTAACTGTGTCCAGGTACTCGGAAGCGTAGTTTACATGTGGCCGAATTCCCTGCTCTCAGATGTCATCTCCAGTCTTGATCTGGTACTGGGTGTGCATCAACCCCAGATCAACCAGCCAGCCAATTTTGAGGCTTAGTTTGTTCCTTTTGATAATTCAGAGTGCTGAATTTTGTCTGGCCCATGTATTCCACCTTGTGCTACTCTGTAAACATGGCCTGATCCAAGAATGAGCTGATTTCATTGGACTTTGCGTGCTGGAATAAAGGTTTTTTTTCCCCTAAGTGAACATACTTGGCTTTCCCTGTCTTTACTGGGAATTTGCCGCCAGTTAGCAGAACGTTCCCATACACTGTGTTCTGAAGATCCTATTCCAATGATTGTATCTTCTCAGCTAGGCCATGACAGTGAGGTTCTGAACAGGAGCATCCAAGCGGCAGACAGAAGGTCATGGGGGCAGGCCATGCATCAATGGTGTCTTGTTCTGGTGCCTGAAGGGTGGGGGTGGAAAGAAGTGAGGTTTATTCATGGTTGGTTGTTGTGTTCATCTCAGAAGCCCAGTGGCTGGTCCAGCAAACTGGGGTAGAACTGTGATGCCAGTTTCCAATTAAGCCCCAAACCCCCTCACACCCATATCAGGCCAGACACTAGAAGGTAAGGTCAGCCTACCCACAATTCCCTCAGGCAGGTCACATGCTCTGCTATTTTGCTGCTTTTGGCTAAGCCTGCCAATTAGCAAAGGCTGCATGATTGAATGCCAAGGTCAGTGTTCCACACGCAGAGCTATTCCCAGAAGCCCCTGGTGATTTGATATCTCCAGTCTCAGCCATTTTCAAGTAGCACATAATAGCATATGCACACACTGTAGAGATTGTCTGAGTGATTAAAACAAAAATATGGTCTTCAGCTAAGAAATTTGAGATTTGGTGTGGTCCTTTCAGTCAAATTAACTAGATTCCCTGTGGCCTGACAGGAATGTTGCATACTCTAGCTCAATAGGTGTAGAGCTGCTGCCCCTTCTCAAGAGAGCTGCTTTTTTCTTTGTTTTATGGTCTGTGAGTCCACATCTCTGTTGGCCATATAAGGAGTGTGTGTGTGCTTTTGGGTGACCAGGATCCTTTCATTCCAGTTTTAGGGAGGCATTCAGTAAATGAATGAATGTGTTTGTGTATGTATGTGTGTTTGTTCCGACTTGATCCCACAACTGGCTCTTCATTAACTCCAGCAATACATGATACTATCAGCTGTGAGGGTGCTGCTTCAGTTCTGTGATCATGCTCCATAAACACTGGCCCGGTGTCTGTCCAGCCTTCCCTAGTCTGATGCCAGACAGGGCAAAGGGGCGCTAATGATCTTACAGCAAGCAGCGGGGAGCGTGCGAGACCTGAGATCCAGGGCGACACTGACGCGCTTAAGAGAAAATTCCCTTTTGTTTCTATGTTTTGGTGTTGTAAGCTGAACACGGAGACCAGTCGTCCCAGTTTACCCAGACTAGTTGCAGTTTCACAACGTCTGTCCCATGTCTGCATTACTCCCAAAAACATGTAAATATGCCCCACTTTCTGCCTCTTCCAGTCTGTTTGTTATTGCTTTCAGTTTTATGCTACAGTTAAGGTAAATACCACAGCAAGCAGATTTGCTGAATGCCTGAAGTCTGGCTTGTATTTTAGCAATTCAGCTTGAGCTTTTAATAAAGGCTCATTATGACTGCCATGACAGTAATTTGCAGCACCCCCCCCCCCGGCTTAGCTGGTTAGCTAGAATGCTCAAAAGAAAATGCATTATGAGAATCTCCAGGAAATGTACTACAGAAATTCCTTTGGATGGGATGCCAGTCCATCACAGGGCGCAGGGGGTTGGGTCTGCTCTGGATGGGATGCCAGTCCATCACAGGGCACAGGGGGTTGGGTCTGCCCTGGATGGGATGCCAGTCCATTAAAGGGTACACAGTCATGCACTAAATGTCCACTATATGCCATCTTGACTGTGGTGTGTGAGAGGCCGAGACTGATGGAAATAAGCAACCAAAGTGATGGAGAGAACCTGGATTAAAGAATTTAAGGGGTATATTTAACATATAGGGTGGAATTTGTAGCTCCCTGGCATCCATTAGTAGTAATATGAGAATAGTTATAAATCTGAGATTGGGAAGGATCTATAAATTCCATCCAGTCACTCAGTGCCGCTCGAAGCCCAAGCGGCATCCTAGGCGAGCTGTGCTGCCCAATTTCACATTGTCTGTGATTATGTGATGTACATGGGGGGGGGGGGGGGGCTTGGGTGCCGACAGTGTAAGCTGGCATCCTAGCAGAAGGTGGGTTTACCAGCACTGCAGTCACTGGATAAATGACAGGGGGTCACTGTGCACCTGGGGAAGCATGTCGACCTTCTCAGTAACACTGGGTCACTCATCTTTGAGACGATCTACATTTTAGTGGAAAAGGTGAAATTCCACCTATTTCCACTAGGAGTCTCTAGTTCCCCATCCATCTCCTTTCTACCATTAAAAAAAATGAATATCTCTGTACACCCACACTTCTGTGCTCTAAATGATTAGGGGGAAGCTGCAGTCAGGGTCTGCCTTGTCTAACCTGTGTGGCTGGGCTCAGAGCTGGAATCATGCTGAGGCTGGGGGCAGAAAGCAGGAGAACAGAGAGCATCATTTCAAAGGCCTTGAAAGACCTCCATGGGGAGGGTGGGGGGAGCAATGGCAGCATTCAGCTGTGCCTGAAATGACTGACTTAGAAGACATTTAAGAATTTAAGGTATCAGAAGCCTATGGGCCAAATGGCCATATGTTCCAAAATTCTTTTTGTGTGTGATGTGCAGAACATTCAATGGGGTACAGTGCTCATTATTTGCTCTACAGTGTCACTGCACCTGAAACTGCACCAGGAGAAGGAAGCACCCGTGCATAAGGGGTGCCAGCCACAGCAATGGGGTACAGTGCTCATTATCTGCTCTATAGTGTCACTGCACCTGAAACTGCACCAGATAAGTCTGATGTCACCAGCTGGTTAAACCATACCCTATAGAAAATAATTACCCTGTCTTTGTAGTATAGGCAACAATACATACCTAAAGTGAAGTTCATAGGTGTGCTGTCCAAAAATGGGCAGGATGAGTGCTAAAATAATACTGTTCACAGTTGGGAGGGAGTGTCTTCCAGGTTATGAAGTGAATGTCCCCCACGCTGGCAATTTTTTGTGGGGGCCTCCGTTTGCAGCCATTACAGCATTGGTTCATTTTAGGAATGATAGATACAAATTCTGCACAGTGGCCAGAGGGATTTGAGCCATTGCTCTTGCAGAACAGTGGCCAGGTCACTGTGTGATGCTGCTGGAGGAAAATGTTTCCCGACTCCCTCCTCCCAAAGTGGCTCAATAATATTCAGATCTGGTGACTGTGCAACTTCACTTTCATGTTCATCAAACCACTCTGTCACCAGTCTTGCTGTGTGTATTGGTGCATTATCATCCTGATACACGGCATCACCTTCAAGGTACAGTGTTTGAACCATTGGGTGAACATGGTCCTCCGGAACGGCTTGGTAGTTCTTGGCAGTAACACGCCCATCTAGAACAGGTAGTGGGCCTAAGGAATGCCATGATATTGTAGCCCAAACCACCACTGATCCACCCCCGTGCCGCACTCTGGGTACCCCACAGTACAGGTGGGGCTTCTCCACACTGCATCTCTCCTGGATGTGGGAAAGTCAGTGAAGGTGGACTCATCATGTTTCACATTGTCCACAGCCCAAGATCTGCGCTGCTGGCACCATTGAAACTGACGCTTGGCATTGGCACGAGTGACCAAAGGTTTGGCTACGGCAGACTGACCATGAATACTGACCTCTGAAGCTCTGGATGAGCAGATTTAGTGGAAACAGGAGAGTTGAGGTGCGGATTTGATTTTGCACTGAGTTTGGCGGCTGCGGTTTTATGTTTTTTGAATACAATCTGGGTTAGTGCCCAAACATGCCTTCAGACAGCTTCCTCTTGCATCCACAGTTGCTCCTGCTGGATGTGGTGCGTCCTTCATGGTGGTATGCTGACATTACCCTGGGTACCGTGGCTCTCAGTACATAACAAAGACTTCCTGTCCTGGTCATAGATGCCCCAGTGAGACACACACCAGCAGTTTGCCCTCTTTTGAGCTGTGATATGTCTCGCATTATGCGGTGTGAATTGCAGTATTTTATGTACAGCTGTGCTGTTGCTCTATTATTCAACCTTCACACTCTGCTCTTACTGATGTAATGTTCAATCAGTGAAGATTGGCCAGCAGGCCACCCATATATAGGCGTGAAACCTCAAAGACTATTTTAGCCAGTGTTTCAGTTTCATTGTCCAACCCCTGTCTATCTGTATGTGAGCTGTGGGCCCTCAAGATTTTTTTTGCTCAAACGGTTAAGCCACTTGTGCCCCCCCCCTCCCCCCCCCCCCGTGGCCGACTCCCTTTCTCTCTTTCTGAAGTTCTTAGTGAAGAGAAAAGTGGGCAACCGACCCCCTAGCCTACTTGTGCATTCATCACGCCATCTCGGGGGGGGGGTTCAAAAGACCCGCCGTCTTTCC